AGTGGGACTGTGTCTAGTCTCTGTTTTTTCTGGAGTAGCTGCCAGAACAATTCAAGTTTGTACAATCAGAGAGAAAATTTTGTTAGATCAAAYGAACAGTTGATAAATAAAAAATCTTTGGTTGTAATGTTGAATCAGTGGTCAGTGGTTGTTTATTATATTGTGTGACAAACTCACCAACCACTGATTTAACACTTTCGTTACCAAATACATCCTATAACAAATATCAAGCAGTGTCAGAAGTTTTCTGGAAAATTCATGCAGTTTGAKGCTTCTGTAACACACCTTCTTCCCCCCAACCACGACTGTCTACAGTTCTCTTTTTCCACGTCCTGCTTTGCCTCTTTTTAGAGCCTGTATCCAATAGAAAGAGCATCAACACTAATGCTTATTTCTGTTTATTGTTAGACTGACATTGCAATCAGATTCTGTAAGATACGGCTTTGTGTTGAGCAAGAAATCATACATCATCCAGTATCTAATAGATCTGACATCATACAATGTGACATGGGTTACTATAAGGGCAATTACCATTTTCATTGTATACAACTGTGGTAAATCAAATTGCATGTTTTACCATTTATCCCTGTTCTCATTTATGGACATTTAAATCACCGGAATGGTATAAGTCTTGAACATAAGTAGCGCCTTATGAAGTTCACATGGACCCCAAGGCTCTTTACACTACCACCCACTGATGGTGGTAAGCTACAGCCGTAGCTGCCCTGGGGCACACCGACGGAGGCGGAGCTGCCATGCACCAACACCACCAGACCCTCTGACCACCATCAGTACTCAAGGTGGGTGAAGTGTCTTGCWGAAGGACACAATGACTAAAACGGCTGGAACGGGGGGGGGGGGTCAAACCGGTGACCTTCTGGTTCCAGGATGACCATTAACTTCGTTTCAGCATTCAGAGGAGTCGGACGTGTTTTTGCTCTTTCCTGAACCTACCCCTCCTACCCTGCTTTGCTGCTCTTTCAAGCATTTTTTCTACCTACCATCCAAAACAAAAAAGGAATTATGGATTTGGTCAACTGGTCTCTGAACGCAATTGACACAATTTTTTCCATATTAAGATTAGAACGAGGGGAACGAAGCTGTCCGAGTGGAACAGTTGCTGCAGGGCGCATCAGTGGTTCTTGGGGGAGCTGGAACCTGATGTGTATCGCACCACTTTCCATTGAAGATGTGGAAGATTTGTAAATATTTAGATTTATGATAACTGGATTTCTGCTGATCGGAGGAGGCGGATTCCTGATCTATCAAAAAGTGAAAGCAATCCTGACAGCGGTACAGGCCATTGAGAAGCTGTCGGGTGCAATGATGGATTCTACTGTTCTGGGAGCACACAGATTCAGTTGTTGGAGGAGATAAATTGCAAACTGGATCTGGTTCTGATGAGAATTGCAGCTCAGGAGCGTGCCTCTGGCATATATCTGTATGAAGCTCTAGATGGTGAGAGGCGAGGAAGGACCCCAAATTCGGCTTATTGGAACTTTTTTCACCACTTCAGAGATGCAGTAAAGACATTGAAAAGCAGCAGGAAAATTTAAGGTTGCTTTGTCCCAAAACATTTATGTTTATCTATTCGGCTCCCAGCTGCTTGGCCTCAATTGCCATGCTATCTAAACTCTCCAGGGATGATATGGTAAATGGTAAATGGACTGTACATATATAGCGCCTTTCTATCCATCCAGGACACTCAAAGCG